AGAAGAAGAAGAAGATTAATGATCTCTCTCCTCCCGTCTTGCCGTCTCGCTATCATAGAGCATAAGCGAAAGAACAAGAAATAATATGTACGAACGAAAAAGAAGAAGAACTGTCGAGAAGAAGTGTATGAGTGCGTATATGAGTGAAATGCAACTTTATTGTACATACAAACTTTTTATTTTTGAAACACACATTGCTTGGTCACATTTCCTTGTAATCATCAGAAAGAAAATTGATTACATCTGTTGTTGATATTATCGAAATGAATACTTTGCTTTACAAAAACTCAACAACAACGATAAAACACTTTGTACTTACAAAAAAATAAAGAGCGATAAAAGATACTGCAACTAACACACACACACACACACTTAAACACAACAATAGGGGTGAAAAAACACACATACTCACAAATTTATGGAAGAAAGTATGTCACTGTTTGTGTTCATTCTGTGAAAAAATAAAGAAAATAGTTGGTTACTCTTATCAGTATAAAAAACCATACACCTAACTGATACAGAATCCATCATCTCATTCAATCTAACCGCGTTGATAAATAACCAGAGACAGTCGATTAAAGTCGTTTTTAGATGCTTAGATGACATGCAAAAGTAAGTAAGACCTGCTCTTTGTATTTATTACTATCATCAAATAATGTTAAACGTCAGAACTATATAAAAATGTTGTGACATTTGCTGCGTCCAGTTCATACAAACCTGTTTAACAATGTGATCAATTATTCGTTTTTGTACGGGTTTTAAATATGCATAATGTTTGTGTAAATAGTCTAATACACCATTCATATTCATTTTAACGTTAATAAGAGAACTATTTACAACATACAGAGAGTATAAAAAGTAGGTAAAATAAGAAATACTCACTATTCACGTTGTTTTAGATAATTATCTAATTGATGAGGAGGTAGTTGTTTTCTAATTTCATTGGACTAAATAAACAAACAGCTAGAGATCTGCATTTTCAGCAATTGCAAGTAAAGAGTTGTAGCTAACTTTTCACAAGCAAAAGTTGGTTTTTAAACACTTTTAAAGGTCGTTTTTTCAGAGAATCTCTGGAAACTGACATAATCTTTCTCAAGATAGATACTCCACAGCACCCAAAAAACAACATACAACGCTTTGTAATTAGTCTAAAAGGTGATCTAAAATTTCTCCCTCCCCTCCCTCTATAAAACTGGATCTTTGCTTAGCTCAGATGAGCTCGAGATTTTTCGCAAAGTCTTATGACTGGTTTATCATTAGGCCTGGAAATCTTAAAAAACATGAAAACATATGTTATCGACTATGCTGAATCTTGTGACAACATTCGTTTTTCAAAAGACTTTCGAAAGCCTGGTGAAAATGTAGATGAGGTGAGATATTCCACTTTTGCCTATTTTTGAGTAAAATTCAAAAATTCACCAAACAGTCAAGATCGAATCAAATTATGTCAGAATATCAACATGTATTCTATTTTACCTGTACAATACTATGCAGTTCAATAAAAGCTTTAAAAATCAACAGAAAATAGTTTAGTTTTTGAAAAGGTTTTCTAGAAATCTGCCGAGTAAAGAATGTTTTTTACTATTCTCAAGTAAAAATCGTTTGGAGAAAAAAAATCGTTTCACCTAATCTACGTTTCCACTAGGCTTTCGAAATTCTTTTGAAAAACAAATGTTGACAGAAGATTCAGCATAGTCGATAACCTATGGTTTCTTGTTTTTTTAAGGTTTCCAGAGCTAATGGTAAGCAGTCATAAGACTTGGGGAAAAATCTCCAGTTCATCTGAGCTAAGCAAAGATCCAGTTTTGTACTGGATGCTTTGGAGTATCTATCTATGAGAAAAGATTATGTCAGTTTTCAGAACTTCTCTGAAAAACCGGTATTTAAAAGTGTTTAAAAAACAACTTTTGCTTGTGAAAAGTTAGCTACAACTCTTTAGTTGCTGAAAAACGCAGATTTCTAGCACACCGTTGTCGAGTTATTAAAGAAACAATCATCTGCCTTCTTTGTTTTGGCGACTATAATAATACGATTCAGAGATTTTTGTTAGCCTCAAATGATTACACCAATAGCTGATAGCCAAAAAATACCCTACTCTAAATGTTTTCTTACCCGTTCTCGAAGTTTTTCATAAATGTGTTGTTGTCTATTGAAGAACAGAACTCTCTTAAGTACAAAATAAATGCAAACATAATTGCCAGCAGAGTCTTATGCGGCTTACTAACTTTATTCAAAATTGGGATTAATTGATCTGAATTTAATTGTCCAGTTTCTAACCGATCATCAAACCATTTTAACGCTGTTAAATCAGATGTAATAACAATTGCAATATGTTCTGGCAACGGCTAAACAATAAACATTTATTGTACTATACATTTAAAACTAAATATTAACACGTTGAGCTCGTGAATATGTCTGTCTTATCTTTGCCTGCCTACTTTAGTCATATCAAAATATTTCATATGTGACGCAGGACAAACAGCACAAGTTGATGGATTTATTAAAAACACTAGAAAAAAGAAAAAATTCTATGAAAATAGTGTAACCGTGTTCAACTATACAACACCAATAACTACTTTTTTGTAAACATGAGACACAAAATAAATGTCCACACGATGTAACAGCTGAAACTGATACTCTGGATAAACAACATAAACAATCATTGCAGTAATAATTTTTGAAATCGATTCCATTTGGATCTTCAAAACAGACAAAACTGAATGTGCATCACAATTTAACAATTACTTTAACAAAGTATATATTTCTTTCGTCTCAACATTTTATGGACTTAGATATCTTGTTTGTCATCATTTACGTTTCGAGTTGATAGTTCATAATAAGTAATACAAGAATTGGTCTACAGATGAATGATAAGGCAAAAAAGTACTCTGAATTACCGAACAGAAAGGACCTTGAAGTTTAAACAAATTAAGCTATTAACTAAGGATAATAGCAGGATTTTTTGTAACGACTTTGTAAAGGAGGAGAACAATTTTCTTTAATTTTGGTTCACTTATTTTTTTCCAACTTTCTAGTATAGACCCTCCAGCAATCAGATCTCTGAAGATCCACCCCGGATATTTGAACGAAGAGATTCGGATATGGCCAGTTTGTAGAGCAAGTCAAGTTACAGAAGTTTCCAGTCATACCCCAAACACGTTCTCTCAGAGATGCAAAATGTTTACCTTCTGGTTGCTGGAGATCCATACTAGAAAGTCATACGGACCGAAATGAATATCAGATTCGTAATCAACATCAAAAATAACCCATGAAAAAGTATGTTTTGATTAAATCGGGATGAATCACTTGGAACGGTTCTCTCGTTAGTTTTGATTGGATTTTATAGAGAAAAGGATTTTACACATTTTTCAGTTTATCTGAGCCTTCATATCATACAGAGAATTTTTAAATTAGCTTTTCTGCTGTGATGCATAAAGGATACGAGTACTTACAAAACCGATTCTGTTCAAAATTAAAATAAAGTTACGGTAAAGCTTCATATAGAAAACTGAACAAAATGGTATATGAACCATAATTACATACAATTTTTCTTTCGAAAATTTTAGGCAACTTTGATTTTTCCAGAAAAATCTCGGTCGAACAATTACAAAAATATCAAGGTTGTCTAAAAATTCCGAAAGAAAGATTGTTCAGTGCAATTTTTAACGCTAATCCGAATTATAATGTTGCTTTTAAGAAAAAATTAAAATTTGATGATGAAAACTGCAAAATATGAGTGCATTTCGTTGATTTTTCTCGTATTGAATTATACGGCTTGTCCAGCTAACGGTCTCCTTTTTTCGCTCTTTTTCAAAGAACTATGGCAATAAAGTTAGAAAATAATCTAAAATTACAACTAGATAATTGAGTAGATTAAACATTTCTCTATAAAATGAAAAGTGTCTCGGCTCTGAGCGGGGATTCGTT